TAAAGCATAAAACATTCCCACAGGTCAAAGTTAAGGTTAGTAGATGGTAATGAAAACAGCATTATTATCCTCAATTACATGGACAGGATGGAATTGCTGTGCAGCCACAGCTGTTTGTCTCAGGGCTGTGACAAGCCTGTACGGATGTTGTCACTTAGCAACCATTGCCATTTGTGTTTTAACTGCAGCTTTTTTGTTGCTGGCACATAATGAGAGTGGTGATCACAAGATTAGTCCCATCAAGGGTGTTTGTTTTGCAAAGCAATGGGCTCCAGGGCTCACCTGTGCCCCTGCCCAGCCTGTATAATTTCAGAAGAGTTTCATGTGTGATAGTTAATGGAGTATAGTAAGGGTTTGTTTTGGAGATGGCTTGACTAAGTTGCGTTTCAAGATATACAGTCTGGATTCACGATCTGCCAGACCTGGCTCTGCAGCTCCCTCATGCTGGTCACAGCCCAGTCCAGAAGCTGGTTCAAGGCCAAAGCTCTGAGCATGATAATGAGGGACCAGCCAAGGCCAGCCTTGATGTCCCTCTACATGGCAGCACAAGATCCCTGCTCCCTTCTACTCACCCAGCCTGAAAGCTCAGGAAATACGGGGCCAGTGGAGGCTGAAAATAGAAGGAGCAAGAGATAATGAAGTGGGAGAACTGAAGATCTGAAAGTGTATCTGTCTATTAAGGGTAACTCCTACCTATCTTGCACTGAAAAGGAGTGACAAGAGGCAGTTCTACTGTGGTTCATGCCACCATCCTTTACCATCAGCCTTTTAAGGTAGTGGTTTTACTGTACACCTTATCTGATGTAACTGGCCAATGTCCCTCTAATGGGTCAGGTGCACCCTCTGTCCCAGACAGCATGTTCTGCCCTTGCACAGAGTTGAACAACTGGGCAACTGCAGAATGACCTGGAGAGTAACCTGGTTTGGATGGGATTATTTTTGAGGCAGCCACATGAAAGGCATCTTTGCAGCCTTGTTATATGTTTAATCTAGACAAACATGTGAAGCTGCTGTGTTCTTAAGCAGAGATTTGGTGTTGGTATTAAAGATAGAAATATGTTTTCTTTAATTTCATTTTGCTTTTTCTGAAACAGTTGTGTCATTGCACCTGTAGTGCTGCAGGGACTCTAGGTGCAGACTGCTGGCTTGTCCTACCTGAGGATAAGGGTACCTGTGGTGTGTCTGCAGAGCCCTGACTGCTTTCATCACAGCTGTATGTCACCAGCTTAGTTCCACCTTGTTCAGGCACACATGCTGCTGCTTTGAAAGAAAACCCTATTTTTCTGTGTGCTGGCTTGCAAGGTCTGTTCTGTCTGAAGAGGAGTGCGTCTGATGCAGGCTGAGGTCTGGCCCTGTTGAAGTGGTGCTTTATTTCTCTGCAGAGGACAAAACCCCACTGCTCTGAAGGGAAATGACACAGACTGTAGAGATGCTGCTGCTGATAATAACTTTCCATTGTAAATTGTTGAGAACTTCTGCAGTGAAGCTGCTTGATGAGTTTCCTCTCTAGCACACAGTGGATTTTCGAAGCCTTGATGAATGTGTGTTGAAAGGCAGAGCAAATTTTATTAGAGACAGACAAAAGAAATTGGAAAGATATGTATGGGTTGATCTGTAATCTCAGATCACATAGATTTAAGCTAAAGCAACAGCCTTAGATGTTTATGGCCCATTTTTTACAAAGTTGTGCAATTAGTATAATTGGGCAAAGAATATTCTTTGGATTTTGAATGTTCAATTCTTAGAAAATTAACAACCATTCTTTTGGCAGCTTTCATAAAGCTGTTGCTACAGTAGGGCTGTTCCAAAGATGCTTATTCTTTCCTGTGCCTGAGTCTGAGCAGGTGAAGGAAAAATCCTTTCTTTAGAGCTTTGTTGAAATATGTTGAGAGCAACTCCAGGAATTTCACACCTGCATGCAGATCAGGTAGCAGGACACATATTGTCCCTGTGCAGGGAAAGAGCTGAGCTGAGCTTTGTAATCATCAGTATGAGCTCAGTATGAGCCATTGGAGACATAAATTTTACTAACCTGTGATGGTCTGAATTGATGCCACCTGTATTGTTACTGCCTGCTCTCCCCAGCCCACATTACAGCTAATGAGCCTTAGTGCTTTTTCAATTAAAGGAGGTCTGTGTCTGGCTGCCTTTGCTGAAATCCTCTGGGATATGTGTATGTGTGTGGGAAAAACTCTGGGTGGTGCCTGCCTCCTGCAGGACCTGCGCACAGCTACAGCACTGCTGGTGGAAAACCCGTTTCCACAGAAAACCATCCCAAAAAAGGCAGCTTTGAACTTTCTCCTGTGTCCAGAAGGGAAGGCCAGCCCACCCACCTGCTCCTCTGAGTGTGACAGCAGTGAGCTGGCTGGGCCGAGTTCATGGAGGGACTGGTGCTGTCACCTTGTGAAGTGGTGAGTAGCAGCAGTGCCTGGGGAAGTGAATGCCCAGTGTGAACATGGGGTGACGAGTCTGCTTCTCAGGGCTGTCTCCTTCAGAGTTGAATCCTCCCCCCAGTGCACCACAGCCACAGCTCCCTGACAAGACATACCACACGGTGTAAACTCTTAACCCAGAAGAAAACTGGGTGGCTGAGATAAGGATCTTGTGGAGGCGCAAAAAACTGGAGCTGTGGTAGGTCAAGAAGTGGGTTGGAAATGAGGTAGCAGTGCAAGCAGGTGGGGTAGGACTAGTATGTGAGCTTTGAAGTGGGCAAAGATGGACATCCCATAGGTGTGGCTTCCCTGCATGATGGATGGCTTACATGAGTAGTTGTTGGGGTGTGTTTACTGATTCTGTCGCTGAATTTTAATCCTGCAAGACCAACTGCCATAGTTTTCTGTGGAAATAACCATGGGAATTTTTGTTTGCTTTCATCTCCCACCATCTCTCCATTCTCTGGCATTTGTTCCTCGTGCTGCTCAGATGTTCATGACCCTTCATGTTTCTCCCAGTTATCAGGTGCAGGATGTCAGTCCAAGAATGTCAGTGTTAATAAGACTCTCTACTGTAACTAGAGCGGCAGGGAGAACAGAGTTAAGGCCATGGAGTGAGCTCAGGAGAGAGAGAAGTACAAAATCAGCACTGAGTCACCTAATTACTGAAGGTGGAGGCCTGTTTTTAATGAAAGATGAAAGGAATCCTTATTTCTCTTTCTAAAGATAAGGGCTCCTCCCAGTCTGTTGCACATTGGGATTTTCAGTGTACAAGCATCCTGTGTATAAACAAGACCTTGGGCTGCAATTAGGCAAATGGTATTAAATTAAGAATGTCACCAATACCCCAGCCAATACAAAAAGAAAAAAAAAGTGCCATTAAAAATTAATAGTTCTGGGAGTCAAGAGACTTCAGTAATAAGCAGTGGAATTTCCCTTCTGTAACAACTCACTTTTTTCAATTTGCTGGTATTTGAATAATTCCTTGGAGTCTCCTAAACTTTGCAACCCTGAAATAACAATAGTAGGGCTGAACAGGAGGAAGAACTTTACCCAGCAACTTGCTCTCTCCTTTTCTGGTGCATATCTGACCCATTGCCAATACAAATGGTGGTTTTGGAACTAGAATACCTTAATTCTAATAGACAGGATTGCTAAAATTCCACCAACAAGCCATACTTCTTCAGAAGCAAATCCCCCCTCTCTCACTAACTCTTCCAATTTCTGAGAAAAACTCAGTGGCAGGAAAAGGCCTGATTTTTAATATCTCATGTTTTTTGCCAGAGGTGGACCCTGTTCAAGTAGAATTGTGTATCAGAAGAGCTAATGTGTCCTAATAACAGCTGCTGGCATGACACCCAAAGGCTCTGTTCACAAGCAAAGCTGTGCACAGCATGTGCTGACTACACTGAAAATCTTCAACATCAGCAGCATGAAATTCTAACTACATCTTACCCCATGGCACTGGCTGCAGGGCTAATACTGAAGGAGGAGGTTGTAGAAGTTCTTCCACTGCATTTGATGCTGCAGCCTCCATTGGCCTAATGTGTGTGTTGTGTTCCTGCCTCTACAAAGGCTGCAGGAGAATAAAGGCTGCCAAGCAACACCTCAGAGCTGGAAAAGAACACAGCTTGGTTTGACCTGCTGGTAAAGGTAGTTTTTCTTTTTTCCTCCCAGGTTTCAGAAAGCTCCTTAGCACTTGGTAAGACATTGGAATACATTGCAAACTACAGCCTTCTCCAAGTTTTAAAAAAATTGGCCATTTTTTCTCTCTAAAAACAGTTGCCATTCACGCTATAGCTGCTGTTTTCTAGTTGTTTACCAAAGGTAGGTGTAGATCTATTTTTATCAAGCAAAAGCTGCAGGTGGCAGTTGCTCTTACTAGTTAGAAGCTATGGTAGTTCTTTAGGAATGGAGAATAGGAGCACTTTCAGCAAATTGGACTTGCTTCTGGCTTCAATTAAAAATGAAGTCAGCTTTTCAGTGTCACTGCTGAGATCAAACAAGTCTGTTATCTACAGAAGAAACGTTGTAATGTTAAGGGTTATCAGCTTGTGACTCCTTAAATGTCACCTTCTGCTCTAGACCTCAATATGCGACAGGGAACTGAGAATTGATTTTAGAATGGATACAAACAAGGTAAAAACAAATACTCCTTAAAACCAGTCGTCACCTGTTTTAGCTACTCTGGCTCTAAAGGGAACATGCAAGTTTGCTTTCAGTCACTGTTTTGCTTTTCAAAACAATTTTTTCCTCAAATAGCCATCATCTGGTACTTTCTTAAAAGACACAGGATTTAAAAAAACAAACAAATGCATTTCTTAATATGTTCATTTTGAAAAACAACTCCCAGTTTATTGGAAACCACACTTGATAACAAAATTAATTCATCAGTATTACAGCAAAGATTTTCTAACCCATTTAAAAGCTAACAAACCCATCCTTTTCTCCATGCAATGTAACACTTCTTTTTACCTTCCCTCAGGAAAGACTTTATGGCTGGTAGCAAAAAATTCTTCGCCAGAAGAAAACTGCTTAAGCTCTGCTCCCTCAGAGCAAAAGATGTCTTCAGTAACAGTCTGCTTCATTCTCCTCTATAGTCCCCACAGTAGCAAGGATGTCCTCTAAGAGGGACTTGGGGCTTTTCTCCAAATGGTCAGTACTTTTATTTAGCTCATCATGTAGCTCTTCTAAGTCTATTGTACCCAAAGCCATCATCATGCTCTCTGGATCTTGAAAATCTACCCCACCTGTGGGGAAGTTCTGGGCCAGAGAACCCTGCCTTAGCGTCCTCTGTAACCAGGCAATGCCAGGTGTTGCAGGTGAATTTCCAATCTGCTCTGAAGCTTCCAGGGCACTAATTGGATAGCAGGCACTTCTTAAGACAATCAATAAATCACATGCTCTCTGACCTACTGGTTTGTCACAGTCACACAAAGACTGAAACAAAAAGCGGAACAGTTTTGCTCGGCAAAATATCTTCAGCACCTCCTCCTGATGAACAGAACTAGTGACTGCAGCTGAGACAGGAGCATATGGGCATTCAGAAAGGCCACGTTGGTGAATTGTCTGATTATAGAAAATTTCAACCAGTTCCAAACCACCAAGTCTGACTTCCCAGTCTAAGTCATGCTCCACAGTTTGGATCACTCTAGAAACAAACTGCTCTGTGTCTTGCAGCTGAGCTGTGCAGCCCTGTCTCAGCCACTCGGTGAAGATGCTGATCACAGCCCTCCTAGGAAAGCCCTCTGGGTCCATTGACAAGATTTCTTGAAGCTTTTCTACAGTGTTCTAAATGTAAAAAGACAAAGAGAAATCACAGTGAGGAGAACAACATTCAAAGAAACAAGAAGGGAGGAATATGCAAAGAAACAAGAACAGCAGAAGTAAAAAAAAAAATCTACTCTTCATCACTGGTTGTGAAATCTGCATGCATGAGACTGCAGGTGACTTGTGAAGAAAGTTTTAAGTAGTAGAGCAGTAAATTGAAGTGTAGTTCTGCTTGATTATGCAGTGGGCTACATCCTACCTCTTTATTGTACCAGTTCCCTGTGACAGGTGACTCTGGAGCCAAGTAAGTGATGAAGGCCAAGTGTCCCACAGCAGTCACGGCACTTGCTCGCACGTAACTTTCTGGATCCTCAAGAAGATCTTGTGTAAGCCTTGGCAACTCTGAAGACAGAAGAGACTTCCTGAACTGCTCCTGGTCTGTGAACAAGACAGCAATCCAAAGAAGTGAGGATTTACTCTGTCAGAGCATGAAGCTGTTTCCAATGCAAGCGTTTCTTTGCACTATACAAGGATGCCCACTGTCTGCCAGGAGAGCTGCCAGTGAGCTGAGCCACTGCAGAGACCAGGCAGCTGCTCACAAGAGCACAGACACTCTGTGTCAGGCTCCCCATTTTCCAGCAGCTTGGTGGCTTTCAGTCAAGCCCTACTAGACACTGGAACTTGGAAAAATCCATTTACAGTTGTTCTAGCAGCAAGAAAAAATTTTCTCCGGGCAAGTGAGGACACAGTTTCAGCCTCATCACCCTTATGTTTTTGCTTAAAGGAAGAAAAAATGGTCTTCCTTTCCTGTTGTCAAGGCATACAGCAAAGAAGAATGCAGCACTGAGAGGGGGCTGCAGGGTAAACTGCTAATGCAGCTGAGTGTGCTGGATGCTTCCTTTGTGACCCGGGGACAACAGCAGTTGACAACATCCCCTCCTCTTCCAAGACTGCAGGGCTACTGTAGGAGAATTAACATGGCCTTAGTGCTACTTGCTGCAAAGCCTGAGCTACCAGGAAAGTGGAAAATCAGCAATTCAAAGCATGCAAAGCAGCTCCAGGCTTTTAGCCTCCTAAATCCCAGCCTGCAGAGTGAAACCAAACAGACACCACTGCAGAGCAAAGTGAAAAAAGGGAAAGTACCATCTGCCATTAAGCACTGTCACCTGCCTTGAATACATGTCTCTTCATATATGCTTGTCTCAACACCCCTCAGTTTAACTCACCAAAATTGCCATTAAGGAGGGCACAGCAATCTGAGTTCAACAGAAAAGTACAGTAAGTTTACTCATGTCTTTGTCCGATATTGATCATGACCTAAGGGTAAAAATCTAGGCGCTTCTTTCTTGGTCCTCCAGTTATGGGTCAGAAGATGCCTCACAAGCCTGACTGACTTTGAAAACATTAAAAGAAATGCTCCTCCAATCTGAACTGTTAAACCTCTGTACCTACCTCTCAAGTGTTTGATCAGGACAGTGAGGAACTCCAGAGAAGAATCTCTTACTTCCCAGCAAGGACTGTACAAACGCTTCTGCAGCACCAGAAACACCCCTGTAAGAGCCAAGGGATAATCCTGAATGGACAAGGCAACAAGCCTTACTGAAGTCAGCACTGTACAACCTCTGGCATTTCATCTGAATCAATCCCTTCTGCTGCTGCTCTGTGTTCCTCCCACAGTTCTTCAAAGCACTATTTGGGCAGTTAAACCTAAATTCACTGTAGTTGCAAACAAATGAATCCTGAGAGCTTTAAGCAAGAGGAGACCTCATCCAGGGCACTAGCTGCTGCTTGTCCCAACTTCAATAGCTTTGTTACCTTCCAAAACCTTCTCAGTTTGTTGCCACTGACTGTTGGAGCAGGACAGTTTCTGCAAGTGCACCAACCACTTGGCTGTAGCCTGAAATGTTTTCTTCAGAACCTGAAGCAATATAAAGCAGATTTACTTTACTACAGCAGGCACTGCTGCCTTTATGCTACAGAAATTTGTTTTAGCCTCAAACTTACAGAGAAATTCTCAGGGTAAACAAGTACATTCGCCTCCTCACTAAAAGTAAGCACAAACAAATGGTGCTTACATAACATGTCTAACAAGCACTGAGAAAATACCTATTCTTGGTTTAATACTATCAAGTTCTAGTACCTCCAGCTTTTGATTTGCAGTTGTCATCAGAGCCATTAGAACAAAGCAAGATGACAACATCCTTCAGTACAAAGGACCCAATACTTAAGGGCCATGTCAAGTTGAGTTTGTTGGCACTACTCTTGGACATGATGGCTCCTGTCTTTTCCATAGCACTCAATGTATTAGTCAGTCATCAGAATTTAAGCTGCTTCCTGCACACCACCCAGACCCCAGACAAGTCTCTCACATATTCTAATACAAACTGTGCTAAGAAACAGTTATTGTCAGACAATGTCTCAGAACTACAACCCATTGGGGCCAAGCTAATTGATTTTCATCTCTCTATAGTTCTATACTCACAGTAGGGCTGGTGTTTGGACTCTCCAGATATGCCAGAAGGACATCAAATACACTTCCTATCAGGGTGTCACATCCTGAAACATGGAAAACAAAACTAAAGGACCAAAACTGAGAGAAAGAGGTGTTGAATCACAATCCAACTGCTGAAATACAGAAGACACTGGATTATAAAACTGTTTTGGAGAAGAAAGCAAGTACAGGCCTTGAAGCAAAGGAGAATAATCCAATTTCTCACAACCACTAAAATCTCTTTAAAGAATTACATGCCCTAGCTCATCAACAGAAAGTAAGGTTAGGAAAAACTGGAAAAAAATGAAGACATTTCAGAAATGGAAGTGGTAATTCAGAAAGATCACTGAAGAGCAATGAAAAATTCTGCAACCAGGGAATAGTCAATTATTTCCAAAATTAAAACAAAAAAAAAAAGCAACCAATAGGGTAAAGAGTAACTCACCTTTTTGCTCAGACAGTGCTGCCAGGACATCAAGAGCTGATCCTTGTACTCTGGAGGAATTGATCAAGATTTGGCTTATGGTGCTTCCCAGAGGAGAAGCTGGACTCAAGAGGCCATTACAGAACTGCAAGATTGTCATGAGAGAGCGCAGCAAAGATGTGCAGGGTAAATCCACTGGCAAATGAACCTAAAGGGATGGGAGGAAGAACAAACATTTCTAGGAAAAGTCTTAAGCATGCATACAGAGCAGGAGTTTTTGGTCAGGAAACAGCAGAAATGGCAGGTTCTGGTGTATTATTAAGGTACTACAATGCTAAGAACTACAAACAAATTATCTTCTTGTCTCTCAAGAACTATTGCACAGATTGAAAGGGATTCACTGCTTGGGAAAGTGGGTCAACTTATGTTTTATCACTGGACCAATAACTGCAGTAGAAGTAAGGTATGGTAAGAAAGCTTGTGAAAATGGATTTAAAACTAAGTGTGGTCCCTCCTTAGAAGCCTCAATATTCTTGTTTTTCCTGTGCTAGATTTTGTTAATGTATGGAAGCCCTCACTGTCAACTCCTCTCCAGGTTCTGTTAAGCTCTACTGCAGAAGTTTGCAATCAATATTAAAACTGTCTTCAGGGACAGGTTTGTTTTCCTTCTCTGAATGTTACCCAAGACAGCAGCTGCTCCAGATGAGCGAGGGTCTGACACAGGAGACCAGCACAAGATGACTTGGATGACAGAAGACTTTCAACAGTGGTGGGATCACTAACAGACTCATCCAGCAAACCTAGAAGACCCAAGGAGGAAAGAACTCAGGTTGTTAGTAAATACTAAGGACTATGATATTTAAAGCTAATCAAGATATTCAAGTGATGTAGCATGAATATCCCTTCAAATGCAACTGCCAGTAGGATGCTGTGGTTTACAACAAACATGGTTACTGTCCTTGGTTATTTCTGCTCTTCCTCCTCCAGTTTTGTCTGCACCAGACACTTAAAAAACTGGCCGACTAGCCTCTAACCTTTTTATCACAACTATACCTGAGTATTCCAGAGGTTGGGAGGCTGCTCTCAAAATACAGTCCATTGGCTGAAGTAGAACAGTCAGTGCCTTAATCCTCACATCTTGTGGGCTTCAAGGAGGAAACAGCAGTTACCAAAACAAGGACATTTCCATTCCTTCCCAAACATCTGCCCTCAAGTGCTGAGCAGAATTGTATTTTTCATACTGGCTTTTAAACAAGCCAGCAACAACAGAACAATGAAAGTACTATCACAGTTTGAGCCTTCTTCCAAGCTTCCCTGGCTAACTGAAAGTAGAAGAAAAATGGCTCTGGAAGGATTAAGCAGCCTTATCATGCTATGCAAATGGAGACTGGGATTCTGTGTAAGAAGGTAGGTTAGAGAGAGGCATTTCTTGCCAATTAAATGGTGTCCTTAAATCTTCAGACACAGGTGTTATTTAGCCTGTAGATCAGTTATCCATATGTGCTGTACTCATTTAACATCTGATGACTTCCTGATGCTTTTTCACTATCTAAAGTGGTGTTAAGGAGAAGATGCAGGCAGACCTCTCAGAGGAGCATGAGGATAGAAGAATCTTCAATTGCAACACAGTAGATTCCAATTGGATTACAGCTCCTTTAATTTCTCTGTCTTTGAAACTGTATTATTCTTACCATCAGAGCCTGAAATTTGTTACCTACTGACATGGTTCTTGCCAACCAGTCTTACATATTAAGGAATGTAGTGGAAAATGCAGTGAGGGAAAAAAAAAGTTCTTGAACAGACTCCAGAGATACTAGCACAGAAACATTTGGAGAGTGCAATAATTCCATTGTAGTAAGTCCTACCATTTGTAGATCTTCAGAATTCCCACTGCCAAAGGACCCACTTGTACTGGGGTTAAGTGTTCCAGAGCAGAAGCCACTAATGCCCAAAAACTTCCTTCAGTGCCATTAAACACAGGGGACCTGAGAAGAAAGAAGTGTAAGTAATAGGTCCTCGGTGGAAAACGTAAATAAGCCATCACTGGATCCAAAAGATCTTTACCATGCCATGTTAAGCAAAAGATTGGCCAGCATGGGCTGTGCTTGAGAAGTCTCTTCCATCAAGAAGGATTCTATTTGCTTTGCTATGCCTGACCAAAGCACTTCAGTCCATGCAGCATGGCAACTGCCAAACAAACTAGTTAACAGCTTTAATGACTGCTTGATGTGAGAGGCAGAGCTGGACCGAAGGGAATCTTCTATATGCTTTATAATCATTTGGGCACACTCAGGCCAGTCATAGTCCTTCGTGGTGGCAGGTTTAGTTGGTTCCAACTCTGCAGAGAGGGTGAGCACGTGCACTAGAAGCTGAGTGGCAGCTGAAGCCACAAACAGGCTGGGATCCCCTTGCAGAGCGAAGATCACATCTAAGCCTCCTGTGTGCAAACAAAACAAGTCACTAGAGGAAAAAACAACAGCCTTCCTATTGTGAGGTGGAGCCTTGTTGCACTCCAGCCATGTATTATTCTAACTTAAGTAACAAATAGCTTTAAATGGTGTTGCTGGGGTGGGTTTTTTTTATACTTTATTTTGTAGTCTCTATGGCATTTCAAAGTCAGGCAGTCCTTAATAACAAACAAGCAAACAAAGTAAAATTGGTTTTGCTTCCTCAGGTGTTTTAATAAATTAGGAACAGAAGAGGACTTTACTGTAACTTTAGTCATATTAGGAGAGTTGACAGCACAGTCACTGTGTAATTATGGAAGGAACCTGTACCATGTCCAGACACAATCAGTAGGAAAAACATGGAAGGCAGCAACAGTACTACTTTTCCATCACATGGACAGCAGCACATACTGAACATTAATGTCAGTCCAGTCTTTTAGGCCCTTCTGTACATGGGATCTAAAGTTAACAGCAGAATTTACATACCTGTGTAAGAACAATGGGACTGGAGAAATGTGCAGGTATTAAGAGATAAGTGAGCCCCTGGTTAGTTTTTCTGCACTAAAATCAGACTGAAATGTATCTTTGAGTAAGAGTTACAAATAAGAATGCAGAAGGCTTTCAATAAGCTATTTTTATAATGTGTTTTGTAAGGTGTGCCTCTTTCCCTTCTAAAAAGGGAACACCTTCAGTGTTTGGGAAAAAAAAAAAAACCAATTAAAAATTCAAATGCATAAACTAATCTAACAAAAACCCCAACATCTTTCGATGAGCTCAGTGTTTTTGACCAATGGCTTATTTTTATCTTAAATGAATGAAACCTCCTGTCTCTCACTTTCCAGCTGAGCAACAGACCGGAGTGGAAGGGGCAGGGAGGTGTGAGGAGCTCCCCGCGCTGGAGGGACTCACCAGCAGGGCAGAGGAAGCGCAGGGCAGGCTGGTGCTGCATCATGCTGTGCATGCCCCTCACCCACCCGCTCCGCACCGACGCGTCCCCCCAAGCGCTGCTGTCCAGGGGCCCCTTCCGGCCAAAGAGCTTGACCAACAGCTGCTCCTGCTGAGGCCAGAGGAGAACACAAGGGTTAAACGGTAAGTAAAGGGGCTCAGGAGAGTGGGAAGGCTGCCTCGTCATCCAAGTCAAGAGTATATCAATGGTGCAGTGAAACCTTCTCTTGCTGGAAGCATCAATGAAAGAGAAGTTTGCAGAATCCCAGGCTTAAACTCGGCATCTATCTCTTTCATGGACTAAGCAATAAAGGTGTTCAAAACCAAAACTGCTTGTTTTGCAGATGCTACAGACAACTTATGTATCAATCAGTTCTATGAGCCTGCTTAATGCAGTCATATACATCCCCTCCCTTAAAGCCTTTTGGGTTTTGAGCTTTGTACTATAAATATATTCTTTGTAGAAAGCAGGTTTTCAAAAAGCTCCCCCATTTTTGCAGGGAATCAGAGGTTTCCAGTTCAAGTCTATCCCAGTTCAAATCTACAGGATCTGTCTGGGAATGCAGTATTTTGCACTGACTGCTGTGAGGTGTTATCCCATATACTGTTTTGAACTGAAAATGAGAAGCACTCTAGGTTCCTCCATACAGCAGGAGGGAACAGGCACGAGGCAGCAGGTACCTGGGCAGCTGACTCACCTGCAAGAGTTGGAAGCGGTTTTCGGAAGCAGCAAGTATCCCAGCTAACTGCAGAGTGAAGGAGAGGATGCTCGGGCTGGGCTCTGGCAGGGCCAGCACAGAGGTGATGAACTCTGTCAGACAGGGGTTGTCCTGCAGAAGCTCCACAGAAGGATCTGGTGACCAGGTGTTGCCCAAGAAGAGGCCAGAAAACAGAGGGTCACTGCCAGGACTTCTGTATGGGTGGGTGTGTGCTTGGCTGGGCCAAACCTGGCTGGATGGCCAGGCCCAAGGTGTTGTGGTGGATGGAGTTAAACCTGGTTGGCAGCCAGTCACAAGAGGTGTTCCCCAGGGCTCAGTATTGGGGCCAGTTCTCTTTAATAACTTTATCACTGATCTGCACAAGGGGATAGAGTGCACCCCCAGTTTGCAGATGACACCTAGTCGAGCAGGAGTGTGGATCTGCCTGAGGGTGGGAAGGCTCTACAGAGGGATCTAGATGGGCTGGATCAATGATCCAGGTCCTGCACTCGGGTCACAACAACCCCACACAATGGTACAGGCTTGAGGAAGAGAGGCTGGAAACCTGCCCAGAAGAAAAGGACCTGGAGATGTTGGTTGACAGCTGGTATAATATGAGCCAGCAGTGTGCCCAGGTGGACAAGAAGGCCACCAGCAATCACGTTGCATCAGAAAGTGTGGCCAGCAGGACCAGGGCAGGGACTGTCCCCCTGTGCTCAGCACTGGTGATGTTGCACCTTACATTCTCTGTTCAGTTTTGGGCCCCTCACTACAAGAAGGATATTACGGGGCTGGAACATGTCCAGAGAAGGGCAACAAAGCTGGTGAAGGATCTGGAGAACAAGTGTTATGAGGAAACTGGGGATTTTTAGTCTGGAGAAAAAGAGGCTGAGAGGAGACCTTCTCATACTCCACAACCCCCTGAAAGGAGGTTGGAGCAAGGTTGGGGGGTCAGTCTCTTCTCCCAAGTAACAAGCAATAGAACAAGAGGTAATGGCCTCAAGTGCTTCCAAGGGAGGTTTAGATTGGATAGCAGGAAACACTTCTTTACTGAAAGGGTTGTCAGACACTGGAACAGGCTGCCCAGGGAACTGTTGGAGTTACCATCCCTGGGGGTAATTAACAGACACGCAGCTGTGGTGCTGAGGGCACAGTTAGTGCTGGACTTGGCAGTGCTGGGCTCACGGCTGGAAATTATGATCTTGAAGGTCTTTTCCAACCAAAACGATTCTAAGACTCTGTGCCTCATCCCTCTCAGGTGCTTGCCCGAGCCGAGCGCAGCCCCTCGCAGCCCTCAGGGCCCAACCTGGGCTCACCTGGAGCGTTTTGAGGTACCACGCAGGGAACAGCGCTTCCCAGGGAGGCCTGTCCCGGGGCACTCACCGGACGTGCTCAGGAGCCGGAACCA